TGTGGCTGTGAAGACCCTTCGCGATCTTGGACTCCATCTCCTTGTTTCATGCTACAGGTGATCTGTAATCGACGTGAAAAAGTTTGTTACAGGTGAATCTGATAGAAAAAGAGGGTACAGGAGGGTTCCGTGAAAATTGCAGATAGTTTTGAAGTAAGGTAATTTTGGCGAAGAATCCTTCATGGTTTGAGGCACCTTTGAACGACTGAGTAGCTAGAGCTCGCTTTTGTTTCCGTTCACAAAGATTCCACAGGGTATCGTGAAGTTCTTTCGAAGCGAGTCTTACCATTTTTTCAACAAGGATCCCCTCTATCCTTGATTTTCACACACGATAACGCGGCTGTCCATGCCGGTCCCTCCGCGCCAGATGGAATTGCAGGAAAAAATGTGGCAGTTATCTGGTGGCCACCATGTTATCTGAATTAGATTCCAATAGAGAATCATTGGGCCTTAATTGTTATAAAGTTCCACAGCAAAGTAAAGCAAAATGGAACAGCCGAAAAGCTGAAAAGGTCGATCATCGGCGCCCAGACGAATTTCGATCCTACTGTAATAGCTAATTTGGCTACCAGCATTTCAAAACGTATTATTGTGTTCCTTATGATTATTGGGGGGTCATCCCATTATTGAAAATTCGTGACGTTTTTTCGTTATAGTAAAATCTCTCGACAAGTGATGTGTAGTCATATTTGCGAAACGGTGAAAATACGTTCTAAGGAAGATATTTTAATAATTCTGAATCGAGATTTCTCCAGAAATCAAGTATCAAGGTTTTCGTTATGGGGAAACTAGTGGTAATAGCGGGCATTTTTTTTCCAAACATTGCCTCACGTAGCATTGGGAATTACAAAATGTAGGGTGGACCTATATTTTATGACGCTTCAGTGTAATTCGTTTGAAGTTCGAGTATAGCCATACGGCCGTTGGCCGCGGACAGGCTGTTAGACGATTTTACTGATGAGGAACCTGTGTTAATTGTCTTTGCATAGTAACTAGTTCTGTTAGCCTGACTTGCCCGGTTTGATAGGAGATTGGGCGGGCAGGGCAGGTTTTAAACGCTATCTTTTTTGTACATTATTCATGGATGTCAATTAATTCCTCTTTACTTGCCGCACAAGAGATCATTACAACTGGCGATCAGGATGAGCAAGAGAGCTGAACCGGGCGGATACTATAGCCTTAAGGCACTAGCACAGAAAACGCATCTTACGCCGCCGTTTCGATACTTCCGGATGAGCTTCTCGCCCAACGAGGACATCGACAACTTCGTCAATTTGCTCAAGGCTCGCGCTCTGGAGGCCAACTTCAAGGACATCAGACAGGAAACGCTAGAATGCCTGGCCCTGGTGTTCGCCTTCCAAGCCCCAGAGCTAGCCGACTATCGTGTTCGCTTCCTTCGCAAGCTGGACGAGGACGAGAAGATCACTGTCGACGATTTGGCTAAGGAGTACCACGCCTGGAAATCAGTCAAGGATGACTCCAAGAATCGTCGAAGCTAGCCATTTCAAAAGGTTTTGCACCGGGTCCAGAAAAGGTAAAAGGCAGGTGCCTGTCTCCTCAGCAAGCTCGTTTTCCGCTTCACGTGTCCGATCTGCCGCAGCAACATGTCGGACGACAGGATGGCCCACAGACAAACCCTATAATGTCCGAAACTCTCCGCAGCACACGCGCGGCTTGATAGTCTCTTTTTCAAGATATCGCGTCGGTTTATCGAAAGCGCAATTTCGTGTGGGTGACCCGGGCTTTGGAACCTACTTTCGGAAACCGGGTGGAATCAACGCGTGCTGGTCGCCGAGCGCGTCCAAGAGAGATCAGCCATCACACGATTGCAGCGAAGGATGTCGCCAGGTTCCGGTTCATTCTCCGGGTCCCATCAATCTTGTTATGGAGCGTTAGGTTCTCAGAGATGCGCTCGGTCTGGTACGCTACTTGAGGAGGATGTTCTTTCACGGGGATCGATGCGGACGCGTTTCCCGGATCCGCCACGTGCCAGGAGAAGGTGCTCGCGTCGGACTGGTCTGACTCGTTTATATCCGATTTACCCAATCATGTCGTGAGCGGCGCACAGACTATGGGATAGGAGCAGTAATCTTCCATCGTTACCAGGATGGAACTGAGAAAGCTGTCTACCGCCGGCCGCTCTCTCAGCGCCGCAGAGAAGAATTACGGTCAAATAGAGAAGGAAGGGGGCTCGCACTCATCTACGCCGTGCGCAAGTTTCACCGCTATATTTACGGACGCCACTTCACCCTTCTCACGGACCACAAACCACTCTTGGCCATATTCGGATCGAAGAAAGGAGTCCCTGCCTACTCGGCGAATCGCCTTCAACGCTGGAGACTTACGTTGCTCGCCTACGATTTCGACATCGAGTACCGGAGCACCACCAGCTTTGGACAGGCCGACGCACTCTCTCGGCTCATCTTCGCCTTAACGCCATTAACGACCTTCGACAGAGCAAGGATGCCTACTTCGGAGAGCCGAATCATCATCCCTCCTGCACTCCAGCCGACCGTTATGAAGGCACTCCACGAAGGACATCCAGGAATGAATCGGATGAAGGCCCTTGCTCGCAGCTACGTATTCTGGACGAAGATCAACGACGACTTGGAGAAGCTGTTCGCAACTGCGCCAACTGCCAGGAAGCCGCCAAGTCGCCCATCAAAAATACGCTTTGTTCGTGGTCCCGCCCAGATGCGCCATGGAGCCGGATCCATATCGATTTCGCCGGCCCAGTGGACGGGATTTCCTATCTGGTGGTCGTCGACGCCTTCTCCAAATGGCCTGAAGTCATTCCAATGACTTCCACCACCAGTACCGCCACACTAAGGGAACTGAGACGTCTTTTTGCTTCCTCACTGATCTGAGGAAGTCCTGCTTGGACTTCCTCAGATCATCGTCTCAGACAACGGAACTCAGTTTACCTCCAATGAGTTCCAGATTTGTTGCAGAAGTAAAGGAATCGAGCACGTCCGGTCGCCGCCGTTTCATCCCCAGTCAAATGGACAAGCTGAACGCTTCGTCGACACCTTCAAGCGCTCACTGGGGAAGATGAAGAACAATGGACCAACCGTGGACGCTCTACAGACATTCCTCTTCACCTACAGGAACACGCCGTGCACCGCATCGCCCGATGGACGATCCCCCGCAGAAAACTTCATCGGTCGACGCCTCCGCAGCACGCTGGACCTGCTGAAGCCTAGCCATGCGCCAGAAGCTAGGCCAGACATCGCCATGGAGAAGCAGTTCAACCGACGACACGGCGCCAAGCCAAGGAAGTTTGAGCCAGATGACCTCGTTTACGCTCGCGACTTCCGCTCCGGACAACCCAGATGGTCTCCTGGACGCATTCTACTACGACACGGCCAACGCTCTACGACGTCCTAGTACAAGAATCCATCTGAAAGCGCCACGCCAATCAACTACGCCCACGTGCTTCGCCGGAAGATGCACGCAACCTAATGGACGCCTTCGATATGCCGTTCAACTCCACACCAGTATCGCCTTCAAGGACGCTGACGCCACCGTTGTCTCCGATGGTCACGACTGCACCGTCTACGACAACGACAACCAACGACGACGACAACTACACCTTTGGAGCCTCCGACCACCGCACCCGGACGACGATCGAGCCGCACTCGACGCCCTCCTGATTACCTTCAGATTGACCCGTACGCCAAGTCGTACCAGAGCCGTCAATCTTAGGGGGGAGGTGTTGGGACACCATGTGATCTCATGTCTTTATGGTAATTGATCTTGTATAAACCTGACCTGCCCGGTTTGACCAGGAGATCTGGCGGGCCGGGGCAGTATATAAACTGTAACTTTTCTTGTAACATTATTTATGGCTTCAAATAAAGCTTCCTGTTCTACTCGATCGCCCTAGGACACAACAGTTACGCGATCCAAAAGAGTCGCCTAGCGCTGAGGTGGTAGTCAATGAAGTATATATCCAGCAAATGGCAGAGGAAGCAGTGGGAAATCTTCCGGTAACAGAGGCTCAGATAGCCTAGGCCACAAAAGAAGACCTTCTGCTACAGGGGATAGTTAATTACATGCAGAAGGGGTGGCCAGTAAAGGTCAAGGATGATAAGCTGAAATCATATGCCGTGAGGAAGACAGCCTCATCAATCCATAATGGCTGTATGCTGGGGGGATTCAGGGTGATTATCCCCAAGAATTGTCAGCAAGTAGTGCTGAAAATATTGCATAATAGCCACTATGGTAGGAATAGGATGATTAGCCTGGCGAGAACTAAGATATGGTTCCCAGGCATGGATAAAGCGGTAGAAGAGGTGGCGGAGAACTGCAGCACATGTGTAGTAATGGGTAAAGATCCGGTAAAGATACTACTACATCCATGAGAAGAGCCGGATTAAATTAGGCAAAAGCTGCACTTGGACTTGTGTGAGGCTAGGGAAATGGCTAGTGGTGGTGTATGCCAAATCTAAGTGGCCACCCTACAAAAACAAGCCAGATCACTCGAGAACCTACAAAAGGGGCTCTGAGGAGTATGGGCCTTCAGGTATGTTTACCATACCGGCCCACGGAGCATTCTCTGGAGCGGCGGGAAAATCCCACAGGCCGTTTCTCCAGTCATTCTGATCGCAGGGCCACAAGCGGCCCCAGCGGTACAGACACCTCGGTGACGGGGTGGCCGACGGTGGTGTGTGGCACCGCCGGCGCCCCAGAGATCACGGGTTCGACGCCGCCCGCAGCGCAACAATGGGCGGCTATCCGCAAGCTGGACGAAGCCGTTCAGGGTCACGAAGGCGAAGCCGCCAACGCCGATCAAGCCGCTCCAGTCGTAGCCGTATGCGAAGCCGTCTACGCTGATGCAGCCGCCCGAGCCGAAGCCGAACGTGAAGTGCCACAGCGTTCAAGACGCCAGTGGCGCTCAACCTGCGGAGGAGAATTAAAAACGATGCAGTAATGTGTTTGATTTGAGTGTTCTGTTATGTACTAAGAAGCAACACAAGGGCTGGCCCCCTATGGTGAGTGACCACAGAGTCACTAGGGGGCGGTGTGGGGGAGTGCGAGAGAACGTATGAGAGTGAAGAATGAAGAAGGATCAAGGAGATAGGCATGTAGAAAATGTGGGTATATAAGGGTGCTACTCTCTGAATAAATCACTCCACTCTCAGTGTTCTGTTCTGACACCGTAACTCAAAGAAAGATCCCAGCAGGATGGAACGCATTCAACCGCCTCTCTTCCCACACTAATAGAAGAGTCCCATTAAGGCTTGAACGTCGTGTCTACGAAACTTGTGTGGAACCAGTGATACTTTTGG